TCAGCAAATAATAAAGAGGAAAAATTTTAAGGCCGTTCCAGTTCTCTTAAAATGTGTCTCTGTACCCCTTTTCCACTTCAGAACAACAAAGTTAGACGCTTTGCTTTTGAGCTCAAGATGCAGGACAAGAGTAGCTACCTTTTGGCAGCTGACAGTGAAGTCGAAATGGAAGAATGGATCACAACCCTCAACAAGATTCTCCAGCTCAACTTCGAGGCTGCGATGCAAGAAAAGCGAAACGGAGACTCTCATGAAGGTAAGCAGAGCTCACTGTCTCCAGGTGCGTGCATACTCCACTGATGTCCTTAACTTTATCAGAGAGTTTAGGGAGCCTGTGTATCGCCAGGTACATGAGCAACGGGGCAGACGTGAGCTCTTCCCAGAGAGCTTAGGAGCAAAGATTTTGTCACATTAGAATTTCCTACCCTGACGACATTTTTATCAGGAAACCTTAAATGGGAAGAGCCACAGCTTCGGGGCAGAAAGGAAGACTGAGTTCAAGTCTCCACAATATCATTTTTCCGCTATGAGACCTTGCGCAAGACACTGACACATGCTGAGCCTCAGTGTTCCCATCTGTGAAGTGAGAATAAAATGGAACCTACTGGTCTACGGGAAACTAAATAAGATTATGTATCTTGAGTATCTGGCAGAGTCAGCACTTAAAATACTATAGGTTTTACTGTAATCATTAATCCAGTCCTTTAGGATTTTTAAGGCAAAGTTAAGCCTCATTACATTGGTGGGAAGCATCTAGCTACATTCCTGATAATTCATGTTTTGTTTCAAGCTCTGAGCCAGGTGAATCTCAACCATGGCTGCACCTTAGAAATTCTGGGTAACTTTTTAAAAAACTCTCTTTCTTATTTGGTTGGCCTGGCGGGGGGACCTGGGCAGTCCTCTTAGTGGGTCTGCTGGCTGTGGCCATGCGGACTGGTGTTCATAACTAATGTCAGTTCTTTTAAATTTTTTTTTAATGTTTTATTTATTTCTGAGATAGAGACAGCATGAGCAGGGGAAGGTCAGAGAGAGAGGGAGACACAGAATCTGAAGCAGGCTCCAGGCTCTGAGCTGGCTGTCAGCACAGAGCCCGACGTAGGGCTCGAACCCACGGACCGTGAGACCATGACCTGAGCCAAAGTCGGACGCTTAACCGACTGAGCCACCTAGGCGCCCCTAATGTCAGTTCCTTTAGACAGTGTCCATGCTGTATCAGTTATTAAATGTTTGGTTCTCAGCCTTGGGCATAAGTATTTTTTCTAAAAAGTTCTGAGGTGTTTTTAATGGGCATCTAGAGTTGAAAACCACCATCTGAGGGCACATGAGAGAAAAGGCCTTCCACCTCCTGCTTCAAATAGAATACGTTCAATTACAAGTGACTCAGGTTATCTGTTTTGTATTTTAGATGATGAACAAAGCAAACTGGAAGGTTCTGGTTCCAGTTTAGATAGCTACCTGCCTGAGCTTGCCAAGGTAATAATCCTCTTAATTTTTCTGCACTTCGAGAATGATATTGGTATATTTCTCATTTCCTGAGTTTGTCCAGGATGGAATCTATTGAAATGATTAACAGTTATATTGTAGTAGATTGTTAAAAAGACATTGTGGTTACTGCTGTCTCTTTTCTGTCCTAAATGTGAGGGGAGGTAAAATGCTCACCTGAGTCAGATTTTAGTCTTGTTTTCTGGAAAGTGCCTTACAAATTATTCTTTTTATTATTCTCTGTCCCTGCCCCTCCATAATGTTTACTGCCAGATTACGAGTATTGAAGGAATAACCAAGAATGCACAGGTAAAGTTTCCCAAGTTAACATGGCACCTACTGTGTTCACACCTGTGTTCCCCTTGCTCACATGAATAGACACACTTCCAAAGAGCATGGGCTGTGAGAGTCCTGCCACTAAACCAAACGGGTTGCCTGAGTTTTGTAAATTGCCTCTGGGTCCCTCTGAATGGGGAAAAAAAGAAGTTATACTTGTTTTTGATAATTTTGAGAAACCTAAAATTTACTGAAAAGCACAAAGATGAAGACAGCCAACTTTGTTCCCACAACCCAGATTCAACCCTGTTACTCTGTTGTCCTTTTAGCTTCCATATTTTTTTTTTAAGATTTATTTTTGAGAGAGAGACAGAGCACAAGCTGGGGAGGGGTAGAGAGAGAGGGAGACACAGAATCCAAACCAGGCTCCAGGCTCTGGGCTGTCAGCACACAGCCCGACATAGGGCTTGAACTCATGTACCATGAGATCATGACCTGAGGCAAAGTCAGATGCTTAACTGACTGAGCCACCCAGGTGCCCCTTATCTTCCATATTTTTTAAAGAAATAAAACATCAGTTATGGTTAAAGTTCTTTTCAAACACCATCCTTACTCCATCCCCTTCCGCCTTCACAGCCTCAAGGGTGACAGTCACTGTTAGGAGCTTCCTGGGATTACTTTTCATTTTATCTCTGTATCTTTACCATTGTATCCATCATAATGATCTACGTGGTTGTGTTTTATAGGTTTAAAAATGTTATACAAATGCTAACATATTATTCTGTACTTTACTTTCTTAATTCAGCCTTGATTTTGAGATCTGCCCAAGCTGGTATATAGATCTAGTTCATCCCTTTGATTGCACCGTGTAAGCATTTTATTTTAGCTGTTCTGTTATTTCTAATTTTTTTCTCTTACAAACAATAGTGCTACAGTGAATATCCTTGGACTTGTCTCCTTGTGTGCTTCTGTGAATGATTCTGTTTTAAATGAGAGAAATATCTTTGTCTTCTCCAGCCATTTATATTCTTGCTCTGTTACTGCCTTTCTTTTCTCTTTCTCTGCGAATACAGTGTAATAGAGACCCTACACACCCACATCTTAAACACTGTAATAGAAAACATGGTTTATCCATATACGATTATAAATAGACTGGCATTCAGCATTGACCTTTACTTTAAGACAACATGGCTGTTCTAAAATATAAAATCCCTCTCCCTGGCTAGGACTTGAGAGTATTGTTTTTCTTCAAGACTTGACGGTTACCACAGTATCTTTTTAGCACCTGCCCATTAAAGCTAATTTTAGTGCCACCATTGTAACCTCCTACTAAGCTGGGCAGGGCTTGTGTGTGTGTTTTTGTCCTATGAACTTCTGTGCATCATATTTTGCATTGAAATTCACTTTTTTTTTGTTTCTGGATGTTTGGGGGCACATAATTTCTCAAAACAAAATGTTTAAAGGAAAATATTTAAACCCATTTTGTTTATTGAAGCTGATAATACATGGAATGCAATCCAGGATTTGGAAAGTAACTTTCTATACTTGCGGGTGAAACCGTGGACACCTAGGAGAAGGCTCATATTGTTTGAGCCTAATGTTGATTAATTAGAAATCGCTATTGTTTTGTTTTTTTTTTTCCTGTGAAGAGATGCAGAAGTTGTGCCCTCCTTTCTTCTCTCACTGCCTACCTGTAGCTGGCCAGCATCATAATTTAATATTTCTCAACCCTAAGACCTAGGAACGTTTTTATTTGCTGTATTTTTTTAAGCTTATTTATTTTGAGAGAGAGAGAGAGAGAGAGCTCACAAGCAGGGGAACAGCAAAGAGGGAGGGAGAAGAGAGAATCCCAAGCAGACACTGTACTGTCAGCGTGGAGCCCAATTTGGGTCTCAAACTCACAAACCATGAAATCATGACCTGAGCCGAAATCAGGAATTGGATGCCCAACTGACTGAGCTACCAAGGCGCTGTGTAGGAAAGTTTTTAAAGTATATCTAATATATGTGTGTGTGTGTGTGTATATAATATCTCATATATGTCTTATATATGAGATAGCATATATAAGAGAGTTAATACACACACACACACACACACACTTAGAGCTATCTTCAAACTGTGTGTAACCACCAAGTTAGTTGAAGCAGTTTTGGCTGATTAAATCAGTTTAATTGGTTTCAACCCCCCATTTCTTTTTATTTTGCTTTGTTTTATCTATCTATCTATCTATCTATCTATCTGTCTGTCTGTCTGTCTGTCTATCTAATTGAAGTAGAACTTACATGGAGCCCTGATTGGGTAGTTCCATGGGTTTCACACCTGTGCACCTGCATAACCACCTCCCAGATCAATACATAGAACATTCCTAGCACTCCAGCAGACTGTCCTGTACTCCCCTCCCAATGGATACACCTGCTGGGTTTATGTCTATCACCGTAGATCAGTTGTGACTGTTTTAGACCTTCTTATAAGTGGAATCATACAGCATGCAGTCTTTCTGTGAGACTTCTTTAACTTAACGTTATGTGACGCAGAAATTATAAAAATATAATTGGAATAGAACTGAATAGGGAACATTAAATACACTACCCTTAATAATGATAGATATTATTTTTAAAAAGTTTTTATTAAGTAATCTCTATGTCCAACATGGGGCATGAACTCACTACCCCAAGAGTCTCATTCTCTACCAGCTGAGTCAGCCAGGCAGCCCAGCCCACTGTAGTATGTGTATATGTATTGGGTTGTGCTATAAACATATTTCTTACGATGGTCATAGCCAAAGCTTGAAAAAGGAAGCATATTAAGGGGCTTTACTGTTGTTATTTTCCCCTCTACCCCCAGCTCTTAAGTGTTTTAAAAGTATTTTTATTTAAGATAGAAAAAAGGCAGCAAGTAATTTTTCAAAGGGAAGAAGAAGAATGAAGGTACTGCCACGCAGTCAACATGGTGCTGTCACACTTGTGCCGCCTGTGGGGGTCTGCTCGGTGGTGTTGGGGGTGGGGGAGCCCGGGCCTGCCTGTGGGGGACTCTCAGCCCTTCACAACCGAGGGCTCCACTCACCAGTGTGCTCTTAGCTTAGTTTGTAACCTTCTCCATTGTATCAGGGTGGGGGCCATTTGTACCTGTTAAGGACGCAAGGAATTGACTGATTCCTCTTGATCTTAAGAGGAATGGATTCCATAGTTGCACATCTGAAGTTAAAGTAGAGGTGGGGGGAAAGGAGAGAGAGACTGTGTGCATAGCTGCTCAGGAGAGGGGAGTTTAATCAGGGGATGAAGAGGCACAAAGGGGTCAGTGCCAGGGATGGAGGTGCAAGGGAGGGTCTCGCGGGAGATCAGGCCGCAGGTAGATAAGTTGCAGCAGTGGAGCCAGGCAGGAGGTTTTGACGGTGTGATTTAGCGGCAGGCCCCTCTCTGGTCAGCTCCTCTTTCTGCCTCGTTCAGGATTCCTGTTGCCCCGGCTTTTGTCTTCCACTGTGACTGGGACGTAACAAACAGGATATGAGTGACGGGAAGTTGTTTCAGTACAAAAATAACTGACGTCTCATTTCGGAATATAATGGAGGAGGGCCCTTGACATATGACAAGGGTGATACGGGCTTAGGTTTTCAGAATATGTTGTATATTCTTGGCCCTTAGGTTGCTTGTACATTTAGTACTGAACGTCTTTATTGTTTTCTTATTGAGAGCATACTATATCTACCCTAAAATCTTTTCTTTTCCTCCTATTGTCTACTATGGAACCAAATACATGTTTGTTGTAAATGTAACAGCATTTATAGTATCAGAGCACATGGTCTTGTAAGCATTTTTATTAACTACACAAACTGTAGTTAAAGTTAGTCAATTGGTTTCTTCCCTACAAAGTCCGGGGGTAAGACAGTCAGGTTGTAAACCCAAGTACGGTTCATTTAATAATGTCTTTCACTGGTTATGTTTATCCTAGGTGTCATTGATACATTTGTATCACCGCCTTGTGTAAAGATAGTACGAAGAAAACCCTCATGCGTCCACCCTATATTGTCCTTCACAGCTTTTCTATTTTGGGTTTTTTTTTTTTTGGTACTCAGAGAACAGCAACTCACCTTAATTTTGGTCTCCCCAAGTGATTCTGAAAGAAAAGCATTGTTTCATGTTAATCCAAAATTGCCCACATTCGGTTACTTTATAACTTCTTTGTAGCGAGTGAACTTAATCTCTCTGGGTAAACCTTCAGTTGAACAAGAGATGAATTAATGTGTCTCAAACTTTATAGTCTCATGAGGTTGAGTAAGGGTCAGGCGGCCAGATTCAGCAGTATTTGTTGGAACCCAGTTACATAGATACCTTTTCTGACTTTTTTAAACCAAGTCTGTAATAGATGCTTCCTCCCCTGTATCCTAATCCAGAAAACGATGTCATTGTGTTATGATACAGAGTTGGCTGGTGTTTTGTTTATGAGGTCAGCAGGCATTCCATCTCTTGGGCCTCCTTATTCTATGTGCTTTATTATTGGTTTGTGACACAGAGGACGAGATAATGGTCCCAGGGCATTAGACACCTTTTAAGTAATGGAAACAAATCATGACAAGCTCTTTAAATTAAGAAGTAGACATCCTGGCCTCAAAGGAACTTGCTAAGTCTTCTTGTTCCAACCTATTCTGTTTTAACATTTTTTATTTATTATTGAGAGACAGAACATGAGCATGCGAGAGGCAGAGAGAGGGGGAGACACAGAATCTGAAGGAGGCTCCAGGCTCTGAGCTGTCAGCACAGAGCCCAGCATGGGGGCTCAGACTCACAAACTGCGAGATCATGACCCAAGCTGAATTCAGATGCTTAACTGACTGAGCCACCCAGGTGCCCCCCCCCCCCAACCTATTCTGTTTAAGCCAATGGTCAGCACAATGGTTTTCTGATAACTCATCCTCAAAATAAGATGCTCTTGGCCATGGTCTTTGGCATTTAATTGTTTTGCTTGCTCAGAGATGAACTTAAGACACGGAGTATGCTTAAAGCTTGTGGCAGTCCTTCTGGAAACCCTTCGAACATTTGGTCCATAATTGTATCTTAGGTGAGGAAGAAAGCACTGTCAGGGTGTGTCCTTAGCAGCTAAACGTAGGGTTCACAGGAGTGAGGGGAATGGCCTTTGTTTTAGACGAATCATTCTCTTTGACTTCTAAGCAAGTGTCAGTTTTTACAGACAACGGCTCTGTCATTGTCCGTTTTCTTCATGTTTTCCTTTCTGCTGAACCCAAAGTATTAGGCAGGTTGTGAGCAAGACAGCAGCAGCAGGGGCTGGGGAAAAGCCAGTCCAGTTCTTCCTACCTCCACGGTATGGACTGACCACAGGTTATTTTAAGAGCAGGGCTGGTTTCTATCACATTGAGAATCGCTGGATGGCATAGGCTGTGGATGTTTTTTTTTTTGTTTGTTTTTGTTTTTGTTTTTTTTTACAGCTATATTTTGTGGGCCCTTAGAATGTGAAAGTACTCATTATAGGAATTTATTTTATCATCTTTACTAAAACTTAAGTAAAAATAAGTGTGTTTGCTGTAATAAGTAAAAATATCCAAGGGCACCTGGGTGGTTCAGTCAGTTAAGCATCCGACTTCGGCTCAGGTCATGATCTCACGGTTCGTGGGTTTGAGCCCTGCGTTAGGCTCTGTGCTGACATCCAGCTCAGAGCCTGGAGCCTGCTTCACATTCTGTGTCTCCCTCTCTCTCTGACCCTCTCCTGTTCACTCTGTCTCTCTCTCCCTCTCTCAGAAATAAATAAAACATTAAAAAAATATATATATCCAAAGTTGTATAGACTCCATCTTTTCCCTCCACCCTCCACCCCCACACCCTGGGGCACTGGTGTTAGTAACCTGTTGTAATTCCCCTGCCATCCAACTGATTGCTCGTGGAGACATACACACAGATGTAGTGTGTGTAGTTTTTCAAGAAATATGTTCATGATATATACATTACTCCGAAACTTGTTCCATCACTGAAAAATATCTCATAGATGTCCCTCGGGGGCTGTAGAGGATCTAGTCTACTCATTTTTCATAGCTGCATAATATTACAGATACGGATATTATGCACTTTATTTAACATCTCCATATTCATGAACAGTTTGGGTTATTTTCCTTCCTTTAGCCTCTACAGTCTATGCACTGTAAACAACATTATCTATTTATAAGCTTAGATACTTGTGTTCTAAAGATGTTCCCCAAAGTGGGTCCTCCAGGTCACAGGTTATTGTGTTTTTAATGCTTTCCATCTTGCGAGTTTGCTTCCCCTAAAGGTTCAAACAATTCACATTCCCTTTTCTCTGCATCCACACCAGGGGAGTGAAAATGGTATTTTACTGCTTTAATTTGTGTTTTGATGCTTAGTGGTGAGATTTTCTTATTTTCATATATTTGGGTTTCTTCCTCTCTGACTTGTGTATTCATATTCTTTACCTTTTTCTTTGCTTTTTTTTTTTAAATTGTTTTTATGTCTTTATTTTATTTTGAGAGAGAGAGAGAGAGAGTTTGCAAGCAAGGGGAGCGGCAAAGAGAGGGAGACACAGAATCTGAAGCGGGCTCCAGGTCTGAGCTGTCAGCATAGAGCCCAACATGGGGCCTCAAACTCACAGACTGTGAGATCATGACCTGAGCTGAAGTCAGACATTTAACCAACTGAGCCCCCGAGGCACCCCTTTTTTTTCCTTTTCTAATAGTTTAAGGCCAGACAGCCCCAGTTACAAATCAGGCTTCTATTGAATGTGTTGAGGTCTTGGGAAAAGTATTAATCCCTTGTGCCTTAATGTCTCTTCTTTTAAACAAGGATAATACTAGGACCCGCCTCCTAAGGTGGTGTAAGATTTAAATGTGCATTTAAGATAATATTTAGCATAGAAATGTTGACTGTTATCCATAAAAATTTGCTTTTATCATTATGATGCTTCCAGGTATTTGTTATTCCCTGGCTCTAAAGCAAAGCCTCCCCTTCCCGAGCCACATTTTCTTTCTGCCTAGGTTTTACTTGGTAATTCCTTCAAATACCATTTATGAGGTATCCCCTCTGTTTAATGCATCATAGCCCATGGGAGGAACCGGGGAAGGAGCTGAGTTTGCTTTTAATCAGTTTCATTACAGCTGCCAATGTATGTAAGTTACATTGTAAGCTTTTAGGTTATTTTTATATCTAAAGTTGTCTCTTCTTTCCCATTAAATGGTTTCTCTAGTGAACAATATATCTCTTGGATATTAGTGGCAACCTCAGGATGCTTTGAGTCTCTTTTGACTCGTTGTTGATTTTTTTTTCTTTTAATGTGGTTGCATCCCTGGTTGCCCTCTGATTATACGCACCTCCTGGCAGTCATCCGTGCCATGTTCGTTTCTCATCTTGGAGTACAGTCAGTGTGATACAACAAGCGTCTTTCAAAAAGGCACCAGGAATTGTTACATTAAGAATCCAGTAGTGTCTGAGATCACAGGACTTGCCTTTGTTGAAGGACTCCAGCAGAAATTCAGATGTAGAATGCGTTACTCTTGGTGGTAGCCTGCAGCACGCGGTACTGACATTTTTGTTGGGAAACATCATGGATTGTATACAAAGTAAAGCAAATTCTTTTGGGTACAGTTAACTATACACCACACGCCACATGTTCTGGCTCTCGTGATGTGAATAAGTAGAAACAATGATAGGTAAGATGGAGTTAAAAAGTTGTCCCATCCCCCATAGGGCTTCAGCTCAAATCAGGCGATTTGCAGGAATGTTCCTTACCTCCAGAAGCCTTGAAGCTCCCTTAGAGAACATCAAGATAAAGTCTGTTGTGCAGAGAGACTCTAGCCATCATCTCGTTCAATATTTTAACTCAGAAATGAAAGTGGGGTCCAGAGAGGCTACGCGGCTTGCTCACACATACATAGCTAGTGAACAAGTAACCTAGAACTTAGTATTCTGGTGGTCATTTCACTTTGCCAGAGATAGATGGTTTTTAAATATAGTTATGATAGAGTTTGGGTCATTGCTAAGAACTAACCTATCATAACAACTGCATGGCTGAGAATATTAGGAAGATGTTCAGTCTTAATAGACCACGTTCAGCCACCAGCAGAGAGGGCAAGACACCCTCTCCACTGTGACTGTCGCTGCCCCATCACATGCTGAGATGTGAGTCGGACTGTGGGGCAAGAACAGATGAGAGAGGACACTCCATTCTGACTCTGTAGACTTCACCATGGAGACTGAGCATAATACAAACAGGATACAGATTTAGAGGCAGCAAGCATAAAAATAATGTGGTTGACAATGACTTCCACCTTGTGATAGAAGCTTCTTTCTGTTCCCTAGCTCCTATCTCTGCCACCCTTTGTCTCTCTCCCTCCATGGCTCGTCTCCCTGCCACCCCTTCAGCGTTGGGGCCCCAGGGTTTCTGTCTACAGACCCCTTTACGTTTTCCCCCAAGAAATTTCAGCCACTCTCAAGGCTCCTCTATCCCCCCTCTAGAGTGATGTTCTCCCAAGTGTGTAATTTCAGCCTTCCTCCCTACCTCGTGCTCACGTTCATCTCTCTGTCCACAGGCAATGCCACACTCTGCTTTATCACCGTCTCCACAAACCTGCTCTTCTTCCTGACTCTCCTATCTCAGTTAATGGGTTCACTGGTTGGCAGGCTACCTACGTGAGGACTGTGGGCTCTGTGATGGGCTTTCCTGTGGGATGGGGAGGCAGGTGTGATAAAGAGCCCGTGTGGGCATCTCGGTCTTTCCCTTTTAACCCACCTCCTCAGCCCTACTCAAGGGGTTCTTCTAATACAGAATTGCTTATTTTATTCCCTTGCTTAAAATAGTGCAGAGTTGTTTTATTGTTGTTGTTTGGGTTTTTGTTTTTTTTGTTTTTTGGGGGTTTTTTTTGTTTGTTTCTGAAGGAAATCCACAGTCCCTAACATACAAATCCCAGACTCATTTCTCTTCACTTTTCCCATCATGCCCAAACAGTCAGTCGTAACAAATGACTTGATCATTCATTACTCAAGTGTGACTATACCTCTGTACCTGGAGTACCTCCTCCCAGAACTCCCTTTTCTCCTTTTCTGCCAAATGTTCTTGTATTTCAAGGTGGGCTTTCTTCTGGGAACTCTTTCCCACTGTACCCCCTAGTCTGGGTTAGTGTTCACTGTGCCTTATGCTTTGCTATTCTTATTGCTGGTTTATATTCTATCTTTGCTAGTATTCCTTGGGTGTAAAGTCTTTGTTTTATTCATGTTGGTGTCCCTTGTGCCTGACGTATACTAGGTGCTCAGTAAATGTCTATTGACTAGACCAGCATTGCCACCTCCTGCCTGCCCCAAACATCACTCCTTCAAGATCTACCATAGTTTCTCTAACTCACCATTCCAGACTTACTCCTTCCTCTTCCTGGGCTT